TTCCATCCCACTATTTGGAAGGCCTGAAACTGAACGTGTCCACAGTGTTGGATCTGGCGGTCATCATCTCATAACCTGCGAAGAAGGCTGCAAATCTAAGGATGCTTCTTCCATATGGAAAGAACCTCTGTTAAAATACTCAGTTTAAAATGCTTTGGGCTACATATTGGTCACTGGAAAACAGGGCCTCAATAATGGTAAAAATGGTTGTTTTCTTTTGAATCCACTACAAAAGCTTTTATACATACAATATGCACATATAACCAATTTTGGTTTCTTTTTCTTAATATATATTTTATTTTAAAACAAAAAGAGAGAGTTGACACCATTCGCAGAGGTAATCGTGCTGGTCAAGTGTGCATTGTTTAAACATGCCTGTTGAAATAACACATACATATGTTGGAATACTAAAAAATAACCAAGATTTTTATATTTTTGTAAATTATACTTTCTATACTGTAGATTGTGTATGTTATGTGTTTTTATGGAAAACTAATAAAGGTACAATGGTATCTTGAAAAACTGGATGTCACCTATTCTAAAATATCAATGGAGCCCTACTTTAACTATCACATCTGGGTGGCCTCTGGGGACATGGGGACATTTAGGCTCAGGTAGGCCCCCACATCCACCCCAAGGCCATGTACACATGCTTGTCTCTGTCCTAAGCTCCAGAAATGAATCCTTCTCTCTCTCTCTCTCTCTCTCTCTCCCCCCGACCCTCCTACCTTTTTCTCCCCCTCCCCCTCCCCCTCCCTAAAAATAGCCAGCCTACTGGGTGTGAGGTGGTCTTTCATTGCAGCTTTTCATTTTGCATTTCACTCATGATTAGTGATTTGGACCATCTCTTCATGTGCTTGTTGGCCATTTGGATAACTGCTCTGGAGAAAAGTCTGTATAGGTTCTTGGTCCATTTTTCATTTTTTTTCATGTGTTGAGTTTTTTTTAAGGAATACTCTACATATTCTGGGTATTAATCCCTTATCAGATATGCAATTTGCAAATAGTTAAGCCCTTTCTGTAGATTGCCTTTTAATCTGTTGATAGCATTCTTTAGTGAACAAAAGCTTTTCATTTTGATTTAGTCCAATTTGTCTTTTGTCGCTATTGTTGCCTTGCCTTTGGTGTCATATCCAAAAACCCAATGTCATGAAGCACCCCCGCCCCGCCCCATGTTTTTTCTAGGAGTTTCATGATTATGTGTTTTGTATTGAGATCATTGATCCATTTTGTGTTCATTTTTGTGTTTGGTATGAGGTAAGAGTCCAACTTCATCCTGTTACATGGGGATATCCAGTTTCTCTAGCACCATTTTTAAAAAAGACAGTTCCCTATTGAATGGATTTGACCCTTGTCAAAAATTGTTCAACAATTTAAAAAAGAAAAAGCTCTATAAACCAAGGCTGTACACAACAACTTTTATTTACCAAATAACTGCAATAGCAAATAAGGCAGACTTGGGGCTAGGTGTCTTAGGTTGTACATCAGACTTCTCTTTGTGTGGGCAAAGACAGATAAAACCATAAAGCCACCATAGTTGGTCTATGAATAATTATGTGATGGGTTTACCTAGAACAGGGAAATGAAGTATTTAAAGCACCCAATTTATGGGAGAAAGAGGAAGAGGAGGGACAAATAAGATCTTCTGTAGCTTAACTATGGCAACCCTTCCCTGAGGCCCCAGCAATGGAAATTTGGTAATAGGAAAGGACCCTTTTACATGAGGACCCATGCTTCTAGGAAAGACAGAACAAGACTCAAGTCTTGCTCAAAGAACCAGAGTTAAGTGGGACTAATCAGATGGACCAAGACCCATTTGTCCAGGAAGGTCACAAAGTTCCTGAAATCACCCATGTTTAGGAAAGTGGGCACCTGGGCTGCTGATCCAGGATGGACCAGCTCATCTGTTGGGACCACAGGTGACCTCTTCTCTCAACCCAGCCACCTTCCACAGGGGCGTGCCTTCTAGAGAGTGGGTAACCCTGGGGTGTTCCTAAGAAAGTTGTTTCTTGGTGCCCAACAGAGAACATCACAAGTCCTGAGAAGAAACATGGACCAGTCAGAACCTCCCAGCAGCTGTGCACAAGCAGCTCTTTAATGTGCGGGACCCAACAGCAAAGCCAGGTGTCATCGAAAAGCATATGCTAGGACCCCTTTCTCCCACCACCACTCAACATTAAGAAGCTGAACTGATACCACCCCCCACCATCACCTTATCATAGATAAATTTGCATGGCCAGTTAGCCGAAGGGATGCCTTGAGAGGGGGAAATACGATAATATGATCAGGAAACCTGCACACAGTTACGTAAGAACGATAAAGGAGATGTGGAATATTGATTCTCTGAATTTGTGGGGCTTCAAGTGCAGAACATATTTCCATTGGCATGTTGCACTGTACAGCCCTGGGGCCCACACACACCGCAATCTATGGGATCGGCACTCCCAGGCACCAATTGAGCCTCCACTATGCACCACCACTGTCCTTTACCAGAGTCCCCAAACTCCAAGCTACCTGAAAACCTAAACTTCCTTTTAACTCTTTGCATATGTGTATCAAAACTTAACCTGAATGGGTATTTGCATCTTTATTCATTGCAGAAATACAAATGTGTTTATCACAGGCGTTGTTTCCAACCCCATTGGAGCTATGACAGTACGTACAACATAACAAGTTTCCAATCTCTGAAATTTCCCGAATCTCGAAACACTCCTGGTCATAAAGGCAATGAATAGGGAATATGGGACTGCTTATATCTCAAAATGTTGACTGTGGCCATCACTGGATAATGAAATTATAGTCTATCTTTATCTCCTTTTTTATAAGGTTTTACTTCTCCCAAATTATATATGCTGCATACTACAATTATAATCAGAAAAAAACTGCCATTTTTTTTTTAAAGAAAATGTCAGGTAGCAGAACATCCTTAAGCTCCCCCTGAGTGCATTCAGGCCACCCCCACAAGCCCCTTGGCTCTGCCTCTATTTTTAAATAAAGATTTATTTATTTATGCATACAAGAACTGGGGTACAGGCAGAGGTCGGGGGGGTGAGAGGATTCACCAGAGACAGAGTGGAGAACAGAACAGGCAGATTGACTGAAGCATGCTGCTGAGGGCAGCAGCAGGCGAGGCAATAGAGGTCTGCTGGGTCACCTCCCTCACTGGGGATTGAACTTGCGCTGCAGTGGCTGTGGGTAGCTTCATAGTGATGAGTCTTAACCCCTTGCACCACCAAGGAGGCCCCAGCTCTGCCTCTTGAATGTGGCAGGTTCTGAGCTGTTCCCAGGGATGGGATCATGTGGGGGATGCCGGCCCTGTTCTCCAGCTCCTCCTAACCCACTCCCTGCTTTGCAGCTTCATTTCCAGACCTTCACACTCTTTCATCTTTTCACTGCCCCAGGGAGTTCTTGCACTGACTTGGCTCAAAGCCCAGTAAGCTTCCGGCCCTGTCTCCAAGCAGCATTTCTGAACCTGCACCCTTCTTGTGCATCCTCCTTGGCAGTGTCCCCAAAGGATGGGGACAGCAAGTTCTGTCCAGTCCAGCCACTCCAGGACTCCTGGTTTCAACCTGCTTTGGGTGGGAAAAAGGCTCCCCAGCACTGGGATCCCAGACCTCAGTCTACATGCCCATCTTCTTCCGAACCTGCTAAACTCACTCCTCCCCAGGAGTCTGACCAGTATGGAACAAATTCATGTTCAAATCCTCCCCAGAGGAAACCAACACACACACATACACATGCACACACACACAAAGTATTTTTAACTCTGTTATTTGGTCAAGCCCACACATGGTGGAAATGGACAGAGCCTAGGCTTAGGCATACCGATCTTAAAATAGCACAATCCTAGGGGCCTCACAGACCCCTTCTGGGCCACAGTTTCCTTGGACCAAGGGAACATCTTCCAGGCAGGTACCAGCCACAGGGCTTCCCTCATCTTCTCCTGTGTCCCTGGAACGCATGAGTCTCCTGCTGACAGCATTTGTCCAACTGACATGAGCACAGAGCTCTTTGGGCTCCTGGGACAGCACACTTAGTGTGTGTGATGCTCCTAGAGAGCAGGTCAGGGAAGTGCAGGGCTTCCTCCCCAATTCCCAGCCCAGGCTGACCCTGGGGAGGAGATGTGGCAGTCAGAATGTAGCCCCTACTGACCAGGGCCTACAGTGACAGTGGTCATGACATTTGAGCACATTAATATATAAAGTCCTTACAACTGTCTTCTGAATAGTCTTGAAGATGTGAAGTGACTTGCTCCAAGTCACGCTTGGTGTAGAATAAGTGAGAGAACTGGGATTTGAACCCTTATCTTGTCTGACCCCAAGGTCCTCATCGCCTTGCTAAGGTACAGGCAGGTGCTGCCCTCATGCAAGATCATGCAAGTCTTTTGACAGATGAGAAACTGAGGCAAAGAGTGCTTGAGCCACACGAACAGGATCCCACCCCCGCTGGGAGGCAGGCTATGATCGATCTTGATGTGGTCCCTACCATCCACACCAGCCCAGCAATGTCCATGGCCTTCTGGGAGTTTGGTGTTTCTATATTTGGAAGACTTTTTGGTCTTGCTTGTTTCCTGGATTTTTTGTTTCCATGGTCCAGGAGATGAACGTATCATCACTATGTCTCGAGATTCTTCTGAACAAAGCTGGCAAGGAAATGAGAAAGGATCCTAATTAGGGGCGATGACCCTACGGAGAAACTCGGATTCTTTGCAGCAGGCCATGTCCTTCCCACAAGCCCTGTGTATTTGTCAGATGTTTACAGAGCCTTCATTAGCGAGAGCTCCCTTAGATAAGAGGTCGGTGCGCTGCATTGAGGGCCAGATAAGAACAAGTGGAGGACATTGTGGGGACAGCGCGCGAGAGCCTGTGAACTGCTGGGTGATTTGTGCAGAGCTGTCGCCAGGACAATGCGGGCCCACTCCTTCTGGGCTCCTCCCTGCAACCGCTAACTCACCAAGGCCTCCTGCAGTCTCCTGCCCAGGGCAAGAGCACCGTCCCAAGATGTGCCACGGGGTGCTATGGGTGGCCCTGCCTATGCTCTCCCTGCTGGCCTGCACAGCGCAGGGGAAGCCACTGCAGAGCCGGGGGAGAGCTGTGTCTGGGGGAGATGCCCACCGCTTGCTAGGGCAGCCTGGAGGTGAGCAGGAGGAAGGCACTTTCGACCTGAGGATGTTCCTGGAGAACATGAAGGTGGATTTTCTACGCAGCCTCAACCTGAGTGGGGTCCCTTCCCAGGACAAAACCCAAGCAGAGCCCCCACAGTACATGATCGACCTCTACAACAGATACACCAGCGACAAGTCGTCCACCCCTGCCTCCAACATCGTGCGCAGCTTCAGCATGGAAGGTAGAGTCACAGGGCCCTGGGGGGACGGAGGAGGGGGCCAGTGGGCCACAGCCACTCTCCAATATGGTGGCTGCCAGCCACATGAGGTTTTAAGTTAATTTAAATGAAATAATATTAATAAATACAGCTCTTTGGTTTTACTAACTTCGAGTACTCAACAGTATGTGTTGAGTTAATGGTTACCCTATAACCATTATTGCACATAAAGTCCTACTGGACAGCTCTGCTCCAGAAGATTCTCCTGCCCTGGCCCAATGCCACATTTAACGCAGTAGGTGCTGCATTTATGCTAGTTTCCTTTCTTCCATCATTCACGCTTTTCCCTTCCTGTCCCCTTTCTACTTCAAAGTAGTTTAAGTTAACCTCCAACCACCTGATACATTTCTGAATTTCGAGAGAATGTGTATTTCTCTCTTACAGAAAGATGTCTAAAATTCAGATAAATTCCTTTAAGAGGAGTGTTGGAGGAGAACTTCATTCTTTCCTGAAGACAAAAATCTCCCTGATTCTGGAGGACTGGATGATGACAAATGTCGACCTAGGGCTTCTACACTTATTCATACAATATAGGTGAAGTGATTTGTGAACAGGGAAGTCACACTTTGCAGATGCTTTCCAAGGTTGTCTGTAAGTTAAGTGACTGGATCCCGACCTAGAGCAACTTACCAGCACAGCTCAGCTCTCTCTGCCACTGCAGGCTCCCTCTGGACAGCGAGGCAAAAAGGGCCTCCCCCTTCCTGGGCTTAAGACCTGCAAACTCCTAATAAGGCCCAGCTCAGTGCCACTAGCCTATAGAGCGTCCTTCTAAAGGACGCTATGATCACCATACATGTCCAGCAGTGATGGATTTTTCTGATTGCCTAAAAGAAGAAGAAAAATATCTAAGTTTTTTAATGGGAATTTACCTGGTTTTTAAAATACTAGCCTAATTTTTTTTTAAATGCACCCTCCTAGCATCTCATCAGATCCAGGCAGCCTGTCTATGCCCACTGCTTTCAGGGGAAGCTGGGCTTCTTTGGCTGCACAAAATTACCAGATCCCATAGTCTGGGAGGCAGTGTTTGGAGCCATCTCCATGACGCCTCCTCTCGCATTGTCCATGTCCTAGAAACAAGTGCTCTGATCTGATCCCAGCTCTGCCTGAGGCCAGCACTCCTGGGGAGACCAATTATGCCTCTCTTCACAGATGGTCCAAATGCAGCTCAGGAAGGGAGGACACTGGTTTTCTAGATGTATGACTGTGCTGCCATGGCCCTTTTCAAGGCACACCACAGTATGAGCACATAAGGTCACTTGCTGCTGCTGCCCAACATGTACCGTGGGAGCGTGAATGGTGTATTCACACTGGGTGAGGAGACCACAGAGAGCTGCGTGAAAGTCTCATGCTTGGGGGGAGTGGGGGTGAGGTGTGTGCCCAGGTGAGAAAGAAGTTCTCACCTGGGAAGGACAGAGAAGTAATGCTTGGCTATGAGCCAGAGGAAATGCTGAGTAAATTCCATGTGCCATCTCCTTGAAGCTGCACAATCACACTCTGAAAGGCAGGAAGGATGATCTCCATGCTGCAGACAAGGAAACCAAGGCACAGAGACAGAGAAACTCAAAGCTCATCCAAGGTCACAGCCTAGGAAAGGACAGAGTATGGACTGGCTCTTGGGTCTGCCAGACACTGAAATCTGCCAAGTTTCAGAAAGGCCTATGGCTCCTCTGGTGTTGGCACATAGTAGGTGGTCACAAAATGCAATTTCTCTTCCCTCTCTGTGACTGAGCCATGGTATAATAGAGGCATGCTAATGACTCTGTGTCTGCCAGCAGTGGGAAACAGACAATCATGCATCTGAAAGGCAAGTCCTGGTTTGGCCTGACATGACAAGGCAGTCTAGGAGACTTTATTTATCTCCTCAAATATTACATAAAGGCATCCACTTTTAAGCTTTGCTTGGAAATTACAATTCTGAATGATTATTATACGATTTAGGTGCTGAGAGTTTTAACCATTGTCTTCATGCTGGAATTTCACCCTCCCCCCCAGGATCGCTCCTTCGAAATCATATACTCAGGACCTGCACTCTGAGGCTGGCAATGAACTTTATTTGGTTCTCTTTTGTTTTGCTTTGTTTTGAAGTAAGGATAATTACAGGATGTGTGCACATTAGCCATTAAATGCCCTGAATCCAGTTTCCACATCTGTATATGTGAAAAGTAGGTTAGATTGTTTGTGGTCAGTGTAAGGAGTAAAGTGAAGCGAAGCCCACTAGTGCCCTGTGGGCAGCCAGTAGATGGCAATAAAGATTGGAACTGTCAACTCCAATGTAAGGCATCTCCTGCCTCTGCTTTTCTTTGAAAGCTGTAAATGTATCTTTCAAAATACTCTTCTCCATGAAGGGCTTATGTGGAACCAAATAGAGATTTGATAAAGATGATGTCATCCCAGGTGCCCCTTCATCTAAACCATAGACTCAGCTTTGGTGTCAGGAAACCAGACCCTACCCACAGATGTCGATCACTGTGTCTTTGTATTTCAGATGCCATCTCTATATCCACCACAGAAGACTTCCCCTTCCAGAAACACATCCTGCTCTTCAACATCTCCATTCCTAGGCACGAGCAGATCACCAGGGCAGAGCTCCGACTCTACGTTTCCTGTCAAAGTCACATGACTTCCTCTCATGAGCTGAAAGGAAACATGGTCATTTATGATGTTCTGGATGGGGAAGATGCGTGGGATGCTTCGAAGAGAACCAAGACCTTTCTGGTGTCCCAGGACATTCGGGAGGAGGGCTGGGAGACCTTTGAGGTTTCCAGTGCTGTGAAGCGGTGGGTCAGGGCAGACTCCACCAAGAGCAAAAATAAACTGGAAGTAATTGTAGAGAATCACAGAAAGGGCTGTGACAAGCTGGACATCAGTGTACCTCCAGGCTCCAAAAACCTGCCCTTCTTCGTCATCTTCTCCAATGACCGCAGCAACGGGACCAAAGAGACCAGGCTGGAGCTCAGGGAGATGATCGGTCATGAACAGGAGAGTGTGATCAAGAACAACCCAGTAGAGGCAGGTGAGGACAAGGATGAGGAAGAAGCCGTGGAAGGCCACATGGCCACTGGGTCATCCTTAGCCAGAAGAAAGAGGAGTGCTGGGGCCAGCAACCACTGTCAAAAGACCTCCCTGAGGGTTAACTTCGAGGACATTGGCTGGGACAGCTGGATCATTGCACCCAAGGAGTATGATGCCTATGAGTGTAAAGGTGGCTGCTTCTTCCCCCTCGCTGATGACGTGACCCCAACAAAACATGCCATTGTGCAGACCCTGGTGCATCTCAAGTTCCCCATGAAAGTGGGCAAGGCTTGTTGTGTGCCCACCAAACTGAGCCCAATTTCCATCCTTTACAAGGATGACATGGGGGTCCCCACCCTCAAGTACCATTATGAAGGGATGAGTGTGGCAGAGTGTGGGTGCAGGTAGTGCCAGGCTGAGGGTGGGGGAAGTTGGACAAGGGGGGGTCCTAGTGAGAGGTCCTGCATCCCCCTGGGCATGACAGGGACTAAGTCCATCTTCTTGCCAGTCTGGAGAAGGAAAGGGAGCTGCCCTGTCTTTAAGGTGAAGGCCTGTTCTCCCTCCCACAGCCCACGCCCAAGCACACACCACTGGTTTAACTGCAGGGATGGCGGTGGCACAGGGAGGTGTGTACCTGGGGAGCAAAAGAAAAGATGGATCTGGAAGGGGTTTGGGGATGGAAGAGGAAATGATGAAAAGAGGACAAGAGAAAAAATACTCCAGAGACAGCAGAAGACTAAGCAGGTCTGAGCAGAGGAGTATAGACAGATTGGTAATGTGCAGAGATTTATGGAAATTCAAGGAATCATCAAAAGGCTTATTCCAATAACCTCAGGGAGTGCAGGAGAAAGGATCAGAATGTGCTCTACACCCATCATAATGTGCTTCCACAACCCAATTATGATCCCCAATTTATATACACAAAGCCCAAAACTCAGGCAGGTTAAACAGCACCAGTCACTGGCACAATTCGACCACGCAGTTCCCCATAGGTCCGTGAATCATCAAAGCCAGAACCTTCAAAAATTCCCACTGCAGTTTAGCAGGTCACCTTCCAGCTAAGGAACAATTCGACATTGGGAAGCAGGGTGGTGGAGTTAACTGGGCCGAGAGCAGCCAGGACCCACCCGTGTGACTGGGCTGCTTGTCACATCCAGGGCGTGCCCTGATTGCTCAGGGTCTGTGCTGATTCAGTGACCAAATGCTTTTTAAAATGACCCCCAAGTCAATGAAAAACTATCATCCAAACCAACTGCAGGATGGAGAGCGTGCAGGACAGCAGCCCTCAGGCCCCAATGTGCAAAGCGCCTGGAGAAACTGTGAGCCACTGGCACAGTGCTTATACGGCAACAGTTTACACAGGGCCACTCACTGCCCATGGACTCAAATTGTGTGCCAGTTTGCAAGGGGCAGGAGCAATTTATCCAGAGACATGGGATGGCCTACTGCCTGAATCTCTCAGCTACCTGCTCAGCATAGCCAACTCTCCAATGTAACACGCCCCTGGGCGTCCCTCCCACAAGACTGCCCTGGAGATAAGGCCTTGGTTTCAATTTATTGGAATAAATGCACTCTTGCTTTGGTATTTGCAACATCCCTATTTTTTACTTCTTGGTGACATGTCCTTAAGTGGTGACATCCAGCCCTCCTGAGTGAGGGCTCCCCAGCCACTGAAGAAATCAGGTCCTATTGGCCACAGTTGGTTCTGCTGGCACTTGGGAAAGGTGAGTACCAGCCCCTGCCCTGGGCTTCAACAGAAGGGCCAGTCTCAGTAACCAATGACCACAAGAGAGGACAAAGAATCTTCTTTCCTGTGTTTCATCCTCTCCTTTGTCTCTTCAGGCCACACATGGGGTGGGATAGAGTAAGAAAGAGTCTGGAGGCAGTGAGGATTTCACTCCCTGGCCCTTCTGACCACTGGCCAGAACAGCATGTACAGGGGGCCCAGAGGCCTGGGCATTCCCACTGGTTGAAACTCCCACTATACTTAAAAGAAAAAAAGTGGTTTGTGTTAAATGTTTACACGGAACCAATGAACAGCTTTAACACAAAATACAATAGAACATCATTGTTTAATTACTGGAGTTGTAGTGAATGCTAATTTCTGGTACAACAATGTGCTCAGTCATAAAGATGGTGGTGAACATCTTTTAGTCCTGGTGATATATTTCTGTGCCTGCATCAAAGTTTTACTTGGAAATAAAGTGAATGTGCAATCTTTGGCCTTTCCTGAAGGTAGGACCTAGTCTGCCCACCCCTCCCTAGAATCCCTTCTTTCCTTGGGGGCTTTAGGTAGTGGTGGTGGGAAGGCCACAGAGATGGAGCTGCTGCAGGGGTGACTGGATATGGCATGCAGGGCTTTGGCATGTTGGAGTGAGCAGACATGTCCATATAAGGGTGTGCGTGAGGATAGCCTCCCTACATGTCAGGGAGGAAGTCCCCGCTCTTGCTAAGAGACACATCTCCAGATGCCTCTTCCAGCATCTTCTCACACTATGCCCCTGCTCAGATGCCCATCTCCAGCCAAACACCCCCAAAGCCATTGTCATTGTCTTGCAAACATCTACACTCACGCATACTCACCCCACATAGGCATTCTCACACGTATGCCCTTGTATGGACACATCCTCTCATCCCAGTGTGAAGAGGCACTTAAAGCCACTTCCTGTTCTTGGCCCTTGGGCCACTGCCCTGGCCAGCCCCACTCCCAGCTCCACGCATGGCCTGAGTCCATCTTTCAGGAGAGTCTAGCTCAAGTTCTCCCGCCTCCGCCCTTCTCTGACACTCTCGTTCTGAACCTCTGGCTCTGGGGAGCGTCACGGTGCTTCTGCCTCACAGCTGTCAGACTCACACTAGCAGAAAGAAGCAGAGTTGCAGCATGAACTGGACAAGCCAGAATTTATACTCCTGGGCAGGTGCTGCCCACTCCTGGCTGCTCCCTTTGGGTGCTGCCCTCACTGGTCACTGCTTCTCTTGTCCTGCCTGTGAAGGGCCTGATCAGCCAGGTATCCACAGTGGAGGAAACCTCGCTGCAGAAGGATGCCCTTCTCTTCTTTGCTCTGTTAATGTGGTCACTAAATGCTGTGGCTTGTACCTCTTCCAGAATTCTGCCAAAACTGGGAAAAGGAAATTTCTGGGTCAGTCTGACTAGTAACCTTCTAAGTCTGACTTAACAAGAGCTGGGCCCATGTAAGTAGGAGTGAGAGTTCACATTCCTCTGAAACTCAACTGTCCCTCACCCAATTGGGAACTAAGTCTTTGTCTCTTCATTCAGCTGGTCTGACCAGCTGCCTCTGTCCTGGGCCCCACCCCAGAATCTGCCTTACAGTTCTGCCCTGCCTGCCTCTGAGGGCCTCTGCCTCTGGACCCATCTCAGGGGCTCCAAGTGGCTCCTCCCCCTCAGGAGGAGGGGAAAGCTCTTTGCAGAAGCCCCCAGGGAGAGCAGGAAGCAGAGGTCCAGCACCGGGCACATGCCTATACAGAGTATGTGGTGGGGGGCCAAGGCAAGCCCACCTCTCTCTGAGGATGCCCTCTGCAACGACAGCTCCTGCAGCAGAGGCCTGGTCTTAAGTGCTGTGAAGGAGGCAATCAGGCGCTTCTGTCTTCTCACCGCGGGGCTTACATTCCCAGGGCTCTGCGATGTACACAGGCACAGGTGCGTGGCCTGGACAGCTGAACAGAGCCACTGGCTTCATGTTCTACATCACCATCTTAAAATTCATAAAATTTTTTTTATGAGAACTCTGCATTTTCATTCTGAACTTGGCCCTGCAAATGATGGAGCTACTCTTGAATGCATGTGTGTGGTCGGTATGGTTCTCCAAGTCCCAGAGATACTCTGGAGGCTGCTTCAGGCCTGAGCAATGGCTTGATCCTAGTGTGGCAAGGAGCTTGCCCCAGGTCTGAGGCCTGAGCCTGGGAACCAGTCCCGCCCCCTCCTCTCTGGTCCACAGAGATCCAGAGGCTTTCTCCCATTTGTGAGCCAAAGGCAGCCACGCTGTTCAGTTCTCAAAGGTGGCCTAGTCCATCATGCAAATTGGCAGCTCTTGGGGGCTTCCAGGTTCCTGGGAAAGCTGGGAGCAGCCTGATGAGGTGGGGGCCAGGTTTTCCCAGACTTGCCTTTAACAAGGACACTGGAGACCATAACAGGCAGGCAGCCCTGGAAACAGGTGGCTTCCTTAGGATCTGATAGAATAAAGCTTCCAGAACTTTTTTTTTTTTCCAATCAGAGTATCCACCCCAGTCAGAAATCTCACAAGATTGGCCTCCGCTTTCCTGTACGCTTCTCACACAGGAGACCACCCCTCCCCAGGGGATCCCAACTTGCTTCGTTAGTGGGTGACTCTGTCCATTGGAGAGATGGACTGAGCCTGGTCTGGGCCAAAGTCTGCCTCTCCACAGCTCCCTCCTGTGAGCCTTTGTTCTGAGGGTCCCCATGCCCCTGGAGAACCCTGACATTCGAGCCCTCTTGATGGGGGCTACAGGACCTCCACTGAGGCAGACATGGCCAGGAGACTGCGAGGGGCCAGGGCCTCTTCAGGTTTGATTGAAGTGAACAAAATAAGGACAATGGAATAACACTCATAAAAGCTAAATGAAGTTTGTAGGATGTTTGAATACTTCCCTTTTTTCTATGAAGTGATAGAGATCATAGGTAATAGACAAATAAAATGCTGATAACTCTACATTAATCCTCAAAACTATTTCTGATTCACACCAATGTACACGTCTGATGGACCTGGAGGAAAAGGAAGGGGAAAAAGGCGAAAAGAAAGGCTACAGCATGGAGGAAAATTATTACGAGCAAGGACAGCATCTGGTCTATAGGCCCTGCTCAGTAGCAACAGCAACAACCTGTCGGTAACCCCAGACACAGGATGAGGCGACCCCAGATAGGATGCTCTGTGAAGGACTACGCCAGGCCAAAGGCACCACTGAGACCAAAAGCTGGTACTAGCTCCCTGATTCTCCAGAAACAGAAAGAAATATGGTCAGATAGTAATTGCTAAATCCAGACAATAGATTTTGGAGTGTTCACTTTGTTGTAGGTTTGAAAATGGCCAATGGACAGGGTGAGCAGTTTCTAGTACACACTGTAGGGAGAATTGCTGGTGTCCTGGGCTGCTGCAGTCTAGAGACCAGCGCATGAGTGCAGACATCTGTAAAGGAACCACAACCCGGAGCACAGGTCACGTCTCAGGCCGCGCAGAAGCTGTGCTGCAGAGACTGCACGATCACCTGCTTCTGCAGCTCCCTTGCTTGGAAAGGCATTGGGAAAACATGACAAGACTCCAACAATATATTTCACCAAGACTTCCTCCCTAGGCAATCACCAACTAGCATCACTGAAGAGTATTCCATGTGGAAAACTGCTGACAGTTATGTGCCACATGAATAGTGAAAAGCAG